TATAATCAATTTTAATAAAACACAAGACTACATTATATAACTCTAACAGTAGGCTATTTAATATCTGTTGTTCTCCGGTTGTCAGTCAGAATGACAGTTCTTGCGTGAACATTATAGGCCTATATATACCCAAGCCAATTTATTATTCCTTCCTTTTTGTCTTAGTGTTTAAAATATTTATTTTGAAACGAATTAATTAATTAAACAAACAGACTTACTGGGTGAGCAGGGGCGGCTATGCCAGCTGTCATATCATACCCTGCCATGCCAGCTGATGCAAAGAATAGAATTTATATCTACACAGAAGAAAGCCCTGTCTAGACTCTGCCCAGGTATGAGTTGTGTGAGCTATTCATTAGCCTGTTTGTTTGATGAAAAAAGATTAAATGTAGTTGCAATAAATGTGTTAAGAATCCATACAACTGCAGCAGTGGAGGACTATTATTCTGCTGCGTGATACTGCAGAAGAACTGATGATGGCACGGTTTGATCTTCGGCTGACCAATCAGCAGAAAGGGGCGTTTAATTGTGTAGTTTACCTGTAGAAATCAAATATTCAAGCTGTTTATTCATGTTTCCACCCATGAACGAAAAACAAAAATTTAAGATGAACTCTCGGTTTTTTTGTTTTTTGGGGAAAAACGAAAAAGGAGCCGTTTTCTAATTTTTCTACTTTCAATATTAAATCAAAAAACGAATGATCGAATGATGCATGGATTCAATCTCATTCACTGACCCATATCTCTGTTGTCTTCTCTCTCTCTCTCTCTCTCTCTCTCTCTCTCTTTCTCTCTCTCTATCTCTCTCTCTCTCCTTTCTTTCCACTCTTGGTTACTACTAACTCTCAGAACAACAGCTTAAACACTTGGCCTGTTTTGTTGATACAGCTAACTGATTTTGGACAGTTCTTAATCAGATGGGAAGCATAAACAATATTTATCATTGAACATAGGGTTTCTCATTGTGCAGTGAATATATTCTGCTAGGTCAGTCATGATTTACTAAAACAATAGCTTATGCAATCACTGTCACTGAATGCAACATTACATAATTTCAGCCCCAAGTTCAAGGTAGGCTAATTGTACAGACAACACACAATAGTCTACACATTGAACAGGACAGAAACAAATCAAACAATAGCCTAATCTAAGAGTAAGTGCACTGGTAAACTATTGAAAAATGACAATATATTAACGTGGGTAGAATATGTGTTTGAGGCCTTCTACAAATCATTACCTCTTCATAAATGCATGTGTAACAGCATCGCGAACCAGGACGCTTAAAATGCGCTGTGGCTGTAGAGATAGGCTAAACCTAAAACTATGCTGTGATTTGTGAAAAATGAATACACTGGCTTTGAAGTATTCATTGACATGGGCTAAAGATGACTGTTAATCAGGGTTGATGTTACATAAGAACTCCTCTACAAGCGGAGGATTTAATCTGATGTGAACGTAGAGGAGGGGATTTGCAGCTAGTATCGTAGTGTTGGAGAATCTGATTCATTTAAATGAATCGGTTTGTTCGAACGGTTAGTTTTGCTGTACCGGTTCTTTCAAGTGCGTTGCATTCTTTTGCAGGTACATTGAAATGTGTCTTATGGTTTTCATTATTTCATATAGCCTGCAGTGTGACGTGTTGTAGATTGGTTGTATTTGGAATAAACTTCTCTGTTCCAGTGCGATCATATAAATCAAAACTTTTTTTTTTTTTTTTATTAATTAATTAATTAAATTTATTTTTGGATTCGGACCGGTGCACATGTCTTCAGAAATACACGTCCTTTCAAGGGGAAGATATTATTATTATTTTTTATAAAATAGGTTATTATCAGAAATGTCTATTTTGATTTCATGGTAAATTGTCCTGTTTTTCTATATAGATAATTCAGTTTAATGCCATGGTCCAAATAAAATATTGCATAATTATTCATTTGTGCAAAATGCAATATATGCTAACAATGTAAAATTCCTGTATGCAAAAGCCCACTACATTTGACAAGAACAACAGCAAGTCATTTAAGAAGTCATTGATTAGCCAGTAGGCTACTGCACAGCATTCAGTAAGTAGCTCGCAGATGGTGAAGTGATTCAAGAACGCTTCCCTCGATTCGACAGAATCATTCAAAAGAACCGGCTCATAAGTACGATTCGTTCGAGAAACGGACCTCGCGATGGTTCAGGCTTTAGAGAGAGGGAGAGCTGTCTCTGAGAGGAAGCGAGATATGTGTGCACTGGCTAAAATATGGATCATTTCCATTCCATTCCATTTTCCTGCGATTCCCCTAAGAGGCTGTGAAAACTAGGATATTTTAATCTGTCTGTCTCCTTTCAGCCCGAATCAACTTTGCCGTTTTTGCGCAAAATGGATGCAGTGAGTTTTGCCGTGAGGATCTTCTGGTTTGTGCTCATCGGGGGGAACAGAATGAGCAGGTGAGAATGCGCGCGTGCTTAACACAGCAGTGTGAGGACGAGGAGAATACAGCTGCACACACACACACGCATATCTAAGTACACTGTAGTTTAATTGATTGTCAAAATATTGCCCATTTAGGATCTTTAAAGAGGCTTAAGCACTGAATAAATGCATCTGATTTCTGAGCAGAATTTGAGCTGATCTGTGAACATCCATAATCCTCTCTTTTCAGAAATGGTTTAAAGGGGGGGTACAATGCTGTTTCATTTTTGTTGTTTACACTGTTAAAGAGTTGGATTTTCATGCTAAGCATGGACAAAGTTTCAAAAAAACAATTTGGACGTATGCCTGAGTATTTCTGTGCTGATATTTCCAGTGAATCCTAGAATTCTTATGCTTCTGCCTTCAACGTTAAACAGAAAGGAGCATACCCGCAATTATAGTATGACACATTTATTGTTTAAACGTGTAGATCAGAAGATAATTTATCAAAACTGTTCATTGTCATGGACATCATGCATATACTGTCATCCGGTAGATGAGTACATTTCTAGAGTGCCTGGCCGTCAGAGTGCGAGTGTCGTCATATAAATATTCACTTACAGTACCCAATATGCTTATATCTCATATTCTCGTTGTTGCTTGGATATGGGACAGATTTTCATGTTCGTGTCTTTTGCTTTATAAATAAGATACATCGTTGTGGTTATGTATCGCTGGTGGTGGGTAGTTAGATATAAATAATATGCTGTCATTAATATTTCTGTACGTTTATGTGAGGAGCTCTCTGCATTACAGTTTAAAATATGCATGTATTCATTTGTATATTGGTCAAAAGGGGTTTTTAAGCATCAAAACAGTGAAAGTTCAATACAGCTTTATTTTTTTCCCCATACATTAGAATGTGTCCTGTTTATTTTTTTTAATCTTGGCAAAAAAAAAAGGCTTACTTCTTTAGTGAGAAGATACTCACTAAAATGTCATATACAGAATGAAAATAAATAAATAAAAAATATTTTCAGGCATGTTCACAGCAAGAATCATTAGATGACATAAAAAAACAGATTCTATTCCTGGATAACACTGCAGCCCCCACCCAAATTTAAATTTTCAGTCTTTACCAATCTTTGCCTCTATCCTTCAAACCACTTGGTTGTACCCATTTGCCAGCTATATACTATATATATATATATATGAGTATTATCACTTTTTCTTTTATATATTAAAATAAGTACAGGTCAGAATATGTATGTTGTTTCATTTTTACATTTTTATCTGTTACGCTGAATGACTATGGAACATTATTTCAATCACATATTTTCACAAAAGTTACTGGAAAAAGGCTTACTTCTTTAGTGAGAAGATACTCACTAAAATGTCATATACAGAATGAAAATAAATAAATAAAAAATATTTTCAGGCATGTTCACAGCAAGAATCATTAGATGACATAAAAAAACAGATTCTATTTCTGGATAACACTGCAGCCCCCACCCAAATTTAAATTTTCAGTCTTTACCAATCTTTGCCTCTATCCTTCAAACCACTTGGTTGTACCCATTTGCCAGCTATATACTATATATATATATGAGTATTATCACTTTTTCTTTTATATATTAAAATAAGTACAGGTCAGAATATGTATGTTGTTTCATTTTTACATAAATATCTGTTACGCTGAATGACTATGGAACATTATTTCAATCACATATTTTCACAAAAGTTACTGGAAACATTGAAGTAGACACTTTACTTGTACTTAATATGCTTTTATGTATTAAATCACTTTGGTAAATTTAATTTGATGTGGACACTAAAACGGGATGTCTCGTCTTTGACCCATATACATACACATCTCTCCCTTTGCTTGTTGTGCAGTTCACAGTTCATGTCTCTTGTGGATGTGCGTCACAACATTAGGGTTTTGCCCCCTTGTGTATGTACATTTATGAGCTTTTATGTTGTTCTTTTTTTGGGATGAATCTCACAGAATCATCACTACTGTAGGTCAAATTTCACCTCAAAATAAAAAGATAAAAATAAAAAAAATAAGACATGCATAAACTTTATGAAAATTCTATAATGCCTATTTTAGGACCATCCCAACATACAAAAATATGCTGTTGTTTTTATTCACATTGTGGAAAGGTTATGATAAAATTTAATGTACTTAATATGAAAGTGTGAATACATTTGTAAAAATTTCATTTCAATTTCAGTGAAATTAACTTTTTTAAATAAACATTCTCTATTATTGTTGTTCTGAGGAGAGCATAATATGACAGCCACCCATATACAGACAGAGAGAAGTTTGTAAGTGGAACTGGACCAGACTTTTGCCTTGCAAAAGGGATTGTCTTTTGAAAATAGACTGTTTAATTGATATATAAGCTTAATTTAATTGGGTGATGGTCGTGGATGAATGGCACAACAATGGGCCTCAGGATCTCGTTACGGTATCTCTGTGCATTCAAAATGCCATCAATAAAATGCACCTGTGTTCATTGTCCATTACATACGCCTTCCCATACCATAACCCCACCGCCACCATGGGCCACTCGATCCACAACGTTGACATCATCAAACCGCTCACCCACATGACGCCATACACGCTGTCTGCCATCTGCCCTGTACAGTGAAAACCGGGATTCATCCGTGAAGAGAGCACCTCTCCAAAGTGCCAGACGCCATCGAATGTGAGCATTTGCCCACTCAGGTCGGTTACGATGACGAACTGCAGTCAGGTTGTGCTCATTAACATAGATTTAAGCCCTATCCGCATGGGATTAGTATTATTTGGGGACCTTGTGTGATTTTTAAATTACCCCCCCACATCTGAATTTCGTGTGGTGCATTCGCACGGGATAAGCGAAGCCTGTGATTTTACTCGAATTTACTGACTTATCTCCCGTATACCCAGATGTCAAGGCTTTGAGAGTCCCGTTCTATGGTCCAGATGGATTTTTAAAAAAAAGAAACTAATATAGTTTGGTGCACTGTGTCATTTACATTTCACCAGGTTAAAATAATATCTCAAGCTTTATGCTTGATTTATTTGTAACACATTAATCTAAAAACCTTTTGAGCTTTCACTTTCTGCAAATTGTATGGTGTAGCGATATGATGACAGCACCCAAAATACTATCAAACACTCCAACGCAGCTCCATTCTTCACGGAAGATGGATAAAAAGGCGCACAGCAAACAAAAACCTCAAAATTATATGCGACCCGCCAAATGCTGGCCGAATCACAGAGATGCCAATTCGCACGGGACTAATATTATCACAGGACCTCAGCGTTCGGCGAAATATGGTAGGTCCTTTGCGGGGGAATTTTTACTTTACAAATTCGTTGTAATCGTACAAATTCGATTCGCATGGGATTAAGATCACAGACAACCTCTGCAATTATTACAAATGACTGGAGGTCACCAGGTAATACTAATCCCATGCGAATAGGGCTTTAGACAGATTTGTGAACAATATTTGAGAGAAATAGGCCTTTTGTGTACATAGAAAAAGTCTTAGATCTTTGAGTTCAGCTCGTGAAAAATGGGGGTAAAAACAAAAGTGTTGCGTTTATAATTTTTTTCAGTGTATATACAGCCAACTTACCATTGTCCCACGACAGTTTTCCAACATCCTCCCATCACTCGGCTGTGCCAAAAAATTCCTCAGATCAGAAAGTGGATAGTATTTAAGCCTGAGGCAAACACTGATTAATTCCTATGCACAGTTCTCGTGGAGAATGAACAAAGCGGATCTGTATGATCTATTCATCACCCTGCAAATCAGCCAACCTCACTCTTAAATCCACTCCAGCCCCCAAGGCAGCCAATAGATCGGGCAAAGCTTGCAGGGCCCCGAACTCGCCTCTCTCAACAGCACCATCGTCCCACACAAGACCCGGCTCTCCTCGAGCGTTGGGTCGCAGCGGCAAACCTTCAATGAGCCTAGGCCGCGCCCCAGCTCTCACAGCAGCACGGCCTCACTCGCTTCCTGCTTCAGCTCAGCCTTTCGCCGCGGCTCTTCCGGCCTCAGCGCCGTACGCAGCCGGCCCTCCAGCTCCTGTAGCAGACACTAACAATAGGCTGCCTCAGCTAGTGGCGCAGGCCACCAGTGTTGCCAACTAATTTTTAGGTAAAGTAGCTAAAGGCAATGTCGTTTGTTGCTAGAAGCCATTAAATGACGTTGTGACATCATTGAATTATGATGCCATTATGTAACCATGATTCAAAACTGTGTAGAATACACACTGAAATTACTCAAATTTTCTGTATTAATTTTCACGAGCATTTTACCTGTATTTTAAATTACACATTGCACTTTAATAGATTGATAGATAAGAATAAGATCGATTTTCGAAATAAGATCAACTGCACCTAAATGAGTATCAATTAGCAGCAAACTAACAACTGAGGTGTTTCATAAATAAACAATTATTATTGATCAAGTGCAACTAGAAACTTAATTCACATGCGATGTGTACTGCTAGGCACCTCTCTCCAAGTCTTTACAAGCTGATGTGCTGCTTGACTGGCTAGCTGTCCTAATACTTTCTTCTTTCTGCGTGGTTAAGAGGAAAATGCATGGACGCTAGCTTGAGGCTGCCGCCGCTAGCGGTGTAGGCTACACAGGCTCTCCAGCATTTTCTTCCGGAGGTCACATACTCCCCTTCCCGTGGCCTACAGCTACAGCAGCTGAAGCAAGCGTGAGGCTGCCTCCGCTTGCAACACAGGCCCTCACATCTAATTATTTCCTCCATTTTCCTCTAACACTTCTCCTAGCCTCCCTCCTCAAGCCTCCGCCGACAATCGTGGCCCCCTCTCCTCTCCCTTATACTTTTCTTCTGCACTCAAAATCACAATATTCTCTTTTCACAGCAATACTTCTGCCCATCCCACCAAATACTGTGGCCCCGGAGCCACCCCAGTGGCTCACAACATGCGAGCACAGATCCTGGCAGGTGCGGACGTAGAACTCTCATCTAGGGCAGTCATTAACGATTATTTTGGTA